CTCGGCTGGACCGCCCCGGGACCCCAGCCAAGCCGCAGCGTCCGGCGGCCAGGAGGGCCTCTCCCTCATTGCACAACCCACAGGGGACAGCGGCAGCCGGGTTCTGCGCGTTTGCGGGCCACTGGGCTCCCAGAGGCCAAGCTCACCTGTCAGAGGCCGGCCCACTCCTCCCCGGCTGGGTCAGCGTCACCTCCAGGGGACCCTGGGGAGAGAGGCAGGGCCGCTCAGAGCCAGGCCGCCCTGCACAATGCCTGAGATAGGAAGGAGTGGAGGAGCGGCTGAAATAGGGCGCCGCCCCCACGGTCTCCGAAGCTCCTGCCCGGACCCCTAAGGAGACACAGTCTGGCCAGGTCGGGTGGGAGGAGCACTGGGCTGGGAATCAGGCCACTGAGTCCCCAGACTCCCTGGACCATGAATTCTCATCCTGGGCCCTCCCTCGTCCCCCACCTCTGAGCTGGGAGAGATAGAAGTCCCCCTGGCTGGAAGTCGCTCTCCTCCTTCTCCCTGGGACACCCAGCCCTGAGACCAGTGTGAGCAGGGACCCCGCCCCTGGCTCGGACAGGCTGAGGAACAGCTGGACAGGAAGGCCAGGTGTGGTTGGAGATTTGAGCCTTAGGTCACACCCTCCCTACCCCCCCAACTCAGCCTGGGGTCTGAGAGAGGCCTCCAAGGCAACCGGAGCAGGGCCAGGCAGGAATTGTGCCATGGTCCCACTGCGCCCAGAATGCTAAATCCAGGAGGGGGGAGCAGGAGGGGGACGAGGACACCTGTCTCCTGCTCCAGGGAGGAGTGGAGGTGGAGCATGAGGGAGGCCATGGCACAACTGACAGCAGACCCTGCCCAGGCGGGCTCTGGGGGAGCTTCGTCCCTGGCTTCTGGAAGTCGGGGCAGGGCTGTGAGCAGCACCACCAGGGCAGGTACTGACCACCCTCTCGCACCAGCTCCCCCTCCTGCTTCTCTCCTCCCCTCTATATTTATCTGCTCTCAGCCTCACCAGGTGCTGGCGACCGCCCCACCCGGGCACAGAGCCACCAGGCCTGCTGGGGACCCCTGATGGGGGAGGGGAGCTTGGCCCAGGCCACAGGGTGTAGGAGCCACAGGAGAGGGCAACCACGGGACCACAATGTGTCACGACAGCCTCAGTTTCCCCACGGGGACATTTGTCAGGACCAGCGACCAAGCGTCCCTTACTATCCAGTCAGGGATTTTCCAAGAGCCTCACCGTCAAAGCCTGAGTTCTGACCGGAGTAACAGGGCACCACAGCCCCCAGCTCCCTCTCCGTGGGGTCCCTGCCTCGGACCCCAGTTCCTCTGAGACTGTTGGCCCTGGCCCAGGTCTCTGCGGTGGGAGCGCTTGCATCTGGCCCCGTGCTCATCAAGGGGGAGCACAGAGGACCCAGGCGATCGAGCTGCCCAGCCGGCCTCGCCACATTCCTTGGCGCTGGCGGAGGCGGAAGGAGAGGGATGGGACGCGGGCCCAGCGGGGAAGGGAGAGGCAGGGCCAGGTTGGGCCACACGCGACGCCTCCCTGCCTCCGGGGGCCCCCAGCAGGTGGACAGCGCCAGGGGCTAGAGGAGGCCTACCCCACAGGCACCTCTG